CAACTACCTAAATACGAAAAGCGACCTACTATACTTAATTCCTGGTCATTTTGTTTAAGAGCGGGAGCAGGCGACACCCAGTCTTGCAGCATCACTTTGTACTTTGAAGGTGTAAAGCACGTACCGAATGTGGAAACTACATTCGTTAGTCTATCAAGTGCGCTTTGCGCGTCTCTCATACATTCGGACAGACGATATCATCGGTGTATTCTAAATAGCACGGTTTTTCTCCAGCTGCTCATTCCATACCAACGTTCGGAGACCAATCAGTGCGTTCTCCAGTATTTCGTCTACGACGAAATTGAACGTGAGCGGCGAAAGAGGGCACGCTTGACGAACGCCGCTGCTAGTGACGAACAATCTAATTAGTTGATTGCAAACCATCACTCAACCAGAGTTATGTTTGTACGGTGGCCTCAGCAAGTTAGTGTACTTCTGGGACATCCCTTATCGAAGAGGGGAACCCATTAGAGCTTCGCGGTCAATTGAGTCGAAGGCTCCCTTGCGGTCAAGAAACATTGCGATCGTTGGTTGACGGTGGGTGTGACGCAACGTAAAAATTTGACTAATACATCCACGGCCAGACTGGAATTTGGCTTGCTGTTCACGGATGTTGATCTCTCTTAAAGGAGTCAGACGTCGAAGTATAACTAAAGCCTGCACTTTGGTGACGATTGGTGTCAAACTTGTGCTGATTTGGTTTTCGCAACCTCTTTGGTGACATACAGCGTAATCTTTGGTGGTTGTTTGATCAAATTCCTACAGATTGATATTTCAAATCAAGTCAAGAAGTTGCTTTTATATATCTTATTGTGCGATTTCAGCTGCCAAATACCCTTCAAAAATATGGAAGATGTATAACTTCTTGTTCATACAATTCCTGTCACATGCTTCGGAGGCCTAGTTCCTCTGCATTCTTCTTGACCGTAATAACCCAAGTGTTATTTGACCAACTAGACGTCCGCTTCAACCAGGAAGTAGTGCTAGCGAGAAAGATGGTGTAGAGATAGCGTTGACTGGTCTTCGTAGTGTCTGGTCAAATCTTTGATGGTGATAGGTCTTCAGAAACTAAGGCGATTCCTCGATATCGTTGTATCGTGTTAGAACGTTTTTATTGGGAACTCGTTCTTGCCAGTGCCACTTTAGGACCAGAAAATTGACAGTTTGCAATCTCCGTGAATGGCAACTTTAGTGGTAGGCAGCTTTGTTGTTGCCCGGTTCAGTACCTCACCTAACCTAGCAGGGTCTTGTGTGGTTGATCGCTGCAAGTCCCGGGGCTTAGATTGCCGGTTTCCATCACTGATCAGGAGACCTTCGCGACTATGAGGTCTACCCCGTGTGCTATTCATCACAAAAATGTGTGTTCGAAAAATTGTTTTTGTTTAAAAATGGTATGAGAGGAACTCAGAAAAAAGTGCTCATTTATACAACGCTGTATTCCACTTGAGTGTGTTTGATTGACGCATCGATCA